TTTGCTCTCTGCAGGAGGGCTTCTGTCTCCTCCTCAAAGCAGAACCAGCTTTTGTAATGAGGGAAATCCACCTTTCATTTCCCCAAAGTGTTATAGCACCAAGAAATGACTGTGCTGACATTTGAGTGAATACTCTCCACTGGGAGGTTTAAGTAGAAGAAGATGGTGCCACAATTATGAACCTAAAACATTATCCTGGTAGCCATGTGGAGAACTGATGGAGGAAGTTATTTTAGTGAGAAAAGTGAGTGTTTTTCCCTTTGGGCAGTGCATCTTAGTGGAAACAATTTTTTAAAATAATTTTTAAATTTTAAATAATTTAAACAAAACAAAACAAAAACCATAAAACTGAATTCATGCAGTGGTCTGATCATTTTGTGTTAAGTGCAAATAACCACACAACCTATATTTCACATCTGGGTTACTAAAGAACTCTCTGGGGTGTGTGTGTGTGTGTTTAGGAGAAAGACTTCCTTTGGAAATGTTCTAGACCTTATAACCCACAGGACGATCTACAAACAGACTTTTGATTTCAGTTTCTCATTGCATTCCAAACTGTGGCTTTTATGTTTTCTTTTATCACCAGGAAGTCTGAGTGTGTGAAGGAGGAGCCATACTCCCTCATGTGGTTACTCACCTGCCTTTTCAAGGTTGGTTGCATTTCCTCTTGAACAAAGGCCAGGAGATTTATTGCAAAATAATCAGAAATCTGCAAGCAAAATTCTGGTAAGATATTGCGGGAGTTGAGTTGGCTCTTCTGTTGTGTGTTCACAGTCCTTAGAGAACTGGGGACTGGAAAGGAAGCTCTTAGAGCCGTTGGAAGCCAGGGGATATTGCATTTATTCATTTATTATCCACAGTACTTAAAGAAATACACATGACACATTCTGAAAGTGGGAACTGATCTGGAAGTGGACAAACATGTCTGATACTGAAAACCGACACAATGAGCAATGATCTCTTCCCATGAGAGAGCACAGTGTTGTGGTGTAGCATGTAGAGCTACTGCCTGCCAGCATCCTATGCAGATTGTGTCCTGGCTGCTCTGCTTCTGATCAGCTCCCTACAGTTGACCTGGGAAAAGTAGCAGAGGATGGCCCAAGTCTTTGGATTCCTGCACCCACTTGGGAGATCAGAATGAAGCTCTTGTATCCCGGCCTTTGACCTGGCCCAATCTTGGCTGTTTAGCTATTTGGAGGATAAACCCATGGATGGAAGATTTTCTTTCTCTCTCTCCATCCCTTTCTGTCTGTAATTCTTCCAAATACATTGAAAAATCTAAATATATAGAAATATTGTAATATATTATACAGTATATATATATACTAGCATAAATATTAAAAATTAAATTAAATTTTAACTTTAATTTTATTTCAAAAGTTAAAAAATATATGCATAAAATGTAGTATAACTAATGTATAATATAAATGCATACATTTTATATATATCACAGCAGAGGCCAGCACCACAGCATAGCAGGTAAAGCTCCCTGCTCCTGCTCCAGCCCCTGTTCAGCCTGGCTTTTGTGGCCATCTGGGGAGTGAACCAGCAGATGGAAGATCTCTTTCTCTGTCTCACCTACTCTCTCTTAACTCAGCCTTTCAAACAAAAATAAAATAAATCTTTAAAAACAAATCACAGGAGAAAGGGCATTCAAGTGGCTGTGTCACCAGGAAGTCTGCACCAAACTTCCCACTGCAGTTGTCCCTTCTGAAACTTCACTTTTTAACTCCAACTGCCTACACAGCCCCCAACTTCCTCTCTCAGTGCTGTAGCTTCCAAACACATGGAGGCCGGAGGCCGCCAGGCAGTTTCCTGCCACTGTTCCCTCCCCCTCCCCGCTGGCACAGTCCTGTCACCCTGGAGGAAGGAGCCACACACAGCCACTTCTCCTTTGCCTTGTCCCAAGTTAAACAACTGAAAGAGACGTTCCTGTTTAGTCAAGGGAATTCTTGTGGAGTGCCCTGTGCTCTTGGCAACATAGGCCTTATAAAAACTCACCGTCTTGGAGTAGGTGTCTGGTACTGGGGTTGACATTCACATCTCCCTTCAGAGCTACCTAGGTTCAATCCCGGCTTCTGCCTCCTGTGCTGATCCCAGCCACCTGCTTTTGCAGACCCTGGGAAGTCACAGTGATGGCTTATGTAGTTTGGTCTCTGCCACCGCAACGGGAGGTCTAGATTTACTTCCTGGTCCCTAGCTTTAGCTCTGGCTTAGTCTTGCTTTTAAGGATATTTGGGCATTGAACCAGAGGATGGGAGTTCTCAAGTTAGTCAGTCTGTCTGCTGACTCCTAAATAAGTAAAGACATTAGAAAGATAGATTTCCAAATCCCAGAAAGGATACTGGATGGCAAGCTTAGTTTCCTCCCAACCCCCCAATTTTTTTCACCATCTTGCTTTGTCTCTGAAATTGTTGGTGTTTAAGATAATAGATAGTTCTCAGCTCTTTCTGTTTAGACTTAATGACCTTCACACCCGGTTTTACTTCAATCATTCCTGGATGTTTGGGACTTGAACCCCCATAATGCCACTCTCGGGTCATTACCCCTGCCAATTGCTTAAGGTTCACCTCGCCTCCCTGCTCTGCTCTCTCTCCTTCCCGCACCCGTTTCCTTTCTTCTCAGGACTGTGACCATCAAATCCATGTGGGTGAATTCCAAATTGAACACCAGAAAGTTGAAACTTTCAGCTTCTTTTTTTTTTTCAAGGCTATTTTCGACTGAGATGTTGTAGTTCAGATCTTATTAGTATGTGTCTTGAAATGAATGCTGATTTTATTAGTTATAAAATGTTAGAAGACAAATTTGATAGAATTTTATCTTTGCAGGTACATTTCTAGATAAACTAAGCACCTGTTCAGTAGGTCTGCAGTGAGTACTGAATAAAGTTCAAAATTATCAGCAGTTCCTTTAAGGTTCTCATGTGCTATCTTCCACGGATTTTTTTCTTCGTTGTCTTCCCTGACCATCCCTACTTCCGCATCTTCTTTAAATTCTTTAAAAATGCCTGCTTGCACTACTTATCATAGTGCACCCTCTTTAAACTACTTTGCCCTTGTTCCGACTGTTGTTTCTGTCATGAACACCCTTCTCACGTTTCTGGGATTGGCTCCTCCTAATTCTTTCATCAGTAGCTGGGTGATACGGTATCTTCTCCAAGAAGCTTTTCCTAGTCTCTCGATTTGGGTTAAGATCCTCTTCTGGCATGAAGATATTAACGATACACAGAAACTGTCTGTGCAGGCTTCGTGAGCAAGAATCAGCTCTTCTCCAACCACTCCCCCTTTATTACTCCCAGAAGCTAAACACATGGTCTGGCGTCTAGATCACACATGTAAAGATCTGGCATACAGATAACATCTGCTAAGCTTAACGTAGCATACGTAACTGACGGGAATTTGCTGTCTCTGAGACAAGAGCCTGCTGCTCAGGTTAAGAGGTCACTGCCCTTGGCAAAGGGCAGCTCCAACGGGAGCGACCCCCTAGGACTGGTTCTGAGTACCAGGCTTGCCCGAGTGACTGTATGACCCTGTGGCAGGGGAACAGAAGTATCAGATGATTTTCACAGAGCAAATTTTGCAAATTCCCCTGCTGCCCGATGCCATGGGGCATCTATTCAGAAAAGTTCTATAAAGGGCAGGTCATTCCAAAGGCCACCAGGCAGAGATCCAGCTTGTATGCAGTGGAGCAACCCTCCACTGGGGACACGCCAGAAGCCCTGGGAACTTTTGCCTTCTCCAGTGCCTGATGACAGAAACATGCTTTGTGAAAGTGTGGTCCTGGAGTTCCTGTTCCTGAGAAAGCTTCTCCAAATGCCCTTTGATGCCTGTGGAAGCAGTGATCATTCTGTGCACAGCATAACTTGACACCCAAAGGAGACCTCACGGGCCTCGTTCCTGGGGTGTCAGAGATGAACAGAGGCCTTTCAAACCAAGTGAACAGCGGTAGGTGGCCACTGTGAAGGGCCAGAGGTGGGAAGTAGGCTGATTCAGCAACCACAACAGAAGAGAGAGATGGCCTCACCGGGAGCCTCCTCCTCATGTTCCGCAGAGAGCCATCAGTCACAGGCAGACATGTGGCATTGAGACAATGAGGCCAGCGAGAGAGAGACCACGCAATTTCTTGAGGCACACGAAAGGAGTGAGCAATGAACAGCTCAGATCAAATCCTCTTTCCATATACGGCAAACTGGAATTAAAAAAAAAAGTCTCAAGTCTATATTTTATTGGAAATACAGAGATAGGGAGTGAGAGAGACAGAGTAATGGATGCACAGAGAGGGTTCTTCTGTCTGTTGGTGCACTCTCCAAAGGCTTGCAACAACTAGGGCTGGGCCAGACTGAAGTCAGGAGCCTGTAAGTCCATGTGGATCTCCCAGGTGGGCAGCAGAGACTCAGGTCCTTGAACCATCACGTGGGGCCTTCTAGGGCACACATTCTCATTACGCCGGAATCAGAAGCAGAACCAGGACTCAGACCCAGGCATGATGTCTTGTCATTAACATCTACTTGATAAATGTTTGATAAGAGATCCAGTTCTAGAAGTACAAACGGTGATTTTCCATGAAAGCGTTGTAGTCTTCTGCATCTTACAGGAAGTGCCTTTTTGGTGGCTGATGTGCTTGATTTTCTGACCCAACCATTCTCTTCAAAATTGAAGATGCCATATGTGCTAACAAGTACCAGAGAGGTCATCTGAAATTTTAAAAACTTAAATGTTCAAAAATATTTAAAGAAAATGGACTATTATGGTGGAGAGGACACAGGGAGAAAAAAAAATCCCCTTGAATAAATGATAGTAGCTAAAGTGGACAAAAAAAAAGGGGGGGGGAGAAAAACAAGAAAAAGAAAAAAGAAAAAAAAAAGACACCTGGCTTCATTTTGGCTGCCCTACCCGTTATGTGTCTTATGTTGCTAATTATATTGCTTTAGTTTTCTTTCCTTAGAATTTATTAAATCCAGATTAGATATGTCTTCCTTGGGCTTAGTAAAATAAGATTGTTTCCCATGGAAACATAATATTTTTATTTCTTAACAATTTTGAGTGAGTTCAGACTATTTTCTTTCTAATTTTTTAACTTAATGTGTCAAGTAGGGAAAGGTCTCTTTTAAAGAGAAATTCTCCGGTGTCCTAAAAGAGTGTGTCCTAAGACAAGGTTCAAAATTCTGCTTGGATTTTTTCAGTCTTTTTGTCCTCAGTTTCCCCAAAAGGGAAATTTTCCCTTTCACCAACGCCCTGTGAACTTTTTTTTTGTCTGTCACAATTGCGTTTTTATTTACATACCTGCCTGCATCCCTGGAGGAGGTACTGATGTCAGATTAACTTCAGGTGCCGAACAAGTCAGCTGAGTGCCTGCAGAGGAGTCAGGGCTGTGGTAGGTGGAAGCTGTCTCGTTCACCCGAGGCAATGTTGGAATACACAAGGAAAAGATGATCTTTATGTTCAGAATCCAGGTAAGCCTGTGGACACAAGCGTGCAGTGAGTCTGAGGGCATACACTAGAGAGGAGTGCTCAGGGACAAGGAAGAAGGAGCCATTGTGCTGAGGTGGGAGAAGAGCAAGTTTTCAGGCCTCCAAAGATGATGCCATTCCATGAGCTAAAGAAGCGTTAGGTAAGAATCATGGAGAAAGAAAAAAGTTTGGGTAGATAAGGTGACAGCAGGACAAGTCGGAAACCATAGGGAAGACCTAGAGCCTGGTGAGTACGTTGGCGGCATCAGCTTGAGCCTGAGCAGCTGAAGGCAGGCACAGCCAGTGAGTTGTAGAAGGAAGGTGAGTCGGGCTCAGCATTTTGCAGATAGATTGGCCGGGTACTGGTGCAGGGCTAGTCACCTAGAGGGTGGCCACCCTTGGGACTGCGACTGAATGAAGGCACAGAAGGTGCCAAGGCATGTAGGGTCTGTGTATGACACACAGAAGAAAAATAAATGCCAGCTGACAAAACAATTGACTACTAACATGGCTAACGCACAGGACTTGCTGAGGCATCCACATGGGGTGAGCATGAAACGTGACCATGACCGTGAATATCTGAACCTTGGGGACAAAAAAAGTGTGGTTTCTTTTTTCAGCAACAGGGACTGGGGAGTCTGAGAAATGAAACAGATTCACAGAAAAGGAAATGAGAGCCAGGATAAGCTCCTATGGGGTCGAGTTTTGCTTCCTTCTCCCGGGGACAGGATGTTACACACAGCCATGGATCAGTAATCTCTAACGGGAAGTGAAGAGTGCAAGGAAACATGCAAGCCTGGCCTTCATTCTCTCCCAAGACAACTGCCTTCTCTGGCGAATCCCTGTGTCCTGCTGCTGCCCCGGCCTTCACACTCTTCCGCCTCTGTTTACCTGAAAGATGCACAAGTTGACTTGTGGCTAGCTAGCATCCTTACTGTGTTAGTAATCAGAGGCCTTCTTTTCGCTGATGCTGGTGCTTTTTCTTCTGGGAGGTGTGGGGAACCTTTACACGATAAATCCCATGTCCTTGGGCCTGTCCTGGCCCTCCCATGTGAACAGAGGAGGCGAATGTGAGCGGTCCAGAGAGAACCCAGAGGCCTTGATGCTTTGGAGAATGCCTGTTGCCATAAATGGAAGCAGAGCTTGGAGTGTTGTTTTTACCATGTCTCTTGGACTTAAATGGAACTAAATTCTCTCACAAAGATGGAGAGGCTAAGGGAGCAGAGAAGGGGGTGCCTTGGCTGGGAGCTGGCTGCTAGTCTGTGTGCTGGAGGCCCAAGTTCAAGTATGCTTGCAGGAATGCTTCAGTTCTTTTCTCCCGCCACACAATGACACTGTTGTACATACAGAGGCCGGGAGAAGGCAGCTGCATTTCTCCAGCTCCATGATCAGTGTCTTTTGGATTCGCCTCTGGTACAGACACATCCTACAGGACACATGTATTTTCTGCCTTGGTTTAGAAAACAAGATACCACTCAAACACATTGCTCTAAACTCCAGAAAACAAGCAGCACATCCTGGCCAGGATATGTCAGCTGTCATCAGCTCATGGTCTCATTGCTCCGCAGTATGTGACTTTGGGTAAACACTTCACCTTCATCTTTAAACATGTTCCCTGCTCATCACGACCTTGTTAGGTGAGTCCCAAGAATCCTAAATCCTGAATTGCAGGGCTCTTTGGCCGTGTTGCTTTAATTTTGCAAACAACCCTTACAGGAATGTGTTGAATTGATGCCCATCTGATTTCAAATGTCCAGAGGGACTTCTATGCCAACTGCTTACAGGATCTGACTAGATGGTTCCCGATAAGGCTCTGACCCCCCTTGTTTGGAACAATTTCTGGAGATATATATATATAATATATATATATATATATATATATATATATATTTGCGCACTAAGTCTCTCTATGATAGCTTTCCTGTGATTTCTCTCTAAACAGAATGGAGCAGGAGGAAGTTGGCACAGAAGAAGACATTTAGAGGTGGGGATGGATAGATTCATTTAGATTCAAGCATAATAACAGTTGAATTGATACAATGCTTGCTTTATGCTAGGCACTGTTAGAAATACTTGATGAATTTAATTTATCTAATCCCCAGTGTAACCCCATAAAAACCAATATTGTTATTTTTTTGTTTTTAAAGATGGGGAAATTGAGGTACAGCCATGTTAAATCTTAAAATTGATAAGCAGAGGAACCAGGCTCCTAAGTCTGGTTGTTAGAGCTGCACATTAGGCCAATTTCCTATGACTGGACTGTTGCCCTAACTTTCAGGCCTCCTGGTTTCCTGACAGACACACTGTGTATTACTTGTAAGTACAGTTCTTAACTATCTGTTAGTTTTATACTCGGACTCCCAGATGTAAGATAGGTAGAAAGTAATGAGAGTCAGTAGAGGTAGAGATAAGGGAAGAATGCGTCAGTAAACGCATACACACATCCATGCATGTGTGCGTGTGCATTCTGGCCCCTTGATTTATATTCACATCACTCACATGTTTCCACAGCTCTCTTCTTGCCCAGTTATACATAGCTCTTTCCTCAGGGATCAGCTCTTCCAACTCCAGGTCATGGGAAGGGGCAGGCAAAAGATGACTTCCTTTCCAGGGGCCTGCTGGAGAAGCATGTTTGGAAAGCAGCACTTACACAAGCTGATCGACGAGAACAGTAGCTGTGCAGGCCAGGCATTTAGCCTAGTGGTTAAGATGCTTGCATTTCACGTTGGAGTACCTGGACTCTTTTCCTTGCCCTGGATTCTAACTTGAGTTTCCCCATCCCTGTGGACCCTGGGAGGCATTGGTGATGGCTCAAGTCATTGGGTTCCTGCCATCACAGCTTACAGAATTGGCCATGGTGGGCACTGAGGGAAGTGAACCAACAGATGGGAACTTCCTGTCTGTCTCTCTGCCTCTCAAATAAATAGAAATGTTTTTAAAAATTCATTAAAGCAACAGAAACTCTTACTTCTATATTATCCAATGTCATGTTATCATTACAATGAATGAGGTGAATATTGAAAGCTATCCATTATATGTATTTGTTATGTGATATAGCATGTGTAACAATATACACTCTGCAACAAAGATGAAAACATATATAAAATAATAATAGCATATGTGACACTAGTATTACTCTTAAGTGTTTAATATTTATTCAATTATTAATCATCAAGCAATTTTTAGGAAGTGGATGATAAAATGATTTCAGTTCTACGTGAAAAAATTCAAGTATGGTGACATTAAGTAACTTGTTGAAGGTCACCCAACCAGCAAGTGGCAAAATCAGAAATCAAATCCCGGCGTCCTAATTCTGAGCATCTGTTTGTAACTGAAGCAGTGTATTATACTCTATTGTAGGTGTAGAACAATTCTGGGCAAACACACAACAAACCACTAACAATGGTTGGCTAAGCAGTGTGGAAATGTTGGGTGGGATGAAGGGCAGGAAGGGATATTTTATTTGTTCAGCATTTTAAATATTATACTTTTATGCTTTTTTGGTGTTATTCTTAAACTATTTTATTACTCATTTACAATTTTTTAAACCCATGAAGGAATGTGGGCAGCCATTGTATCTGTGGCAACCTGACCAAAGAAGTGACTGTACAGGTTCTGTTTGTAGAACTCGTCAGGTTTGTAAGTGGAAAGGGAAGAGCAGGCCTGCACTTCAAGGAAAAAAGAGAACAGGAGGACTGGGAGCTGGCAGAGCCAGAAAGGAAGGGGAAGAGTCGAATTCTGTGAATCCCTGCTTGAAGAGGACTTCGACTACCTAGCACTGTCAGAGTTAGTGACTCACACTTCGATATCAAGTCTTAACAAAGCAGGAAAACCTCTGTTCTCCACACACAAGAATGAATTATTTTGTATGTTTTAAAAGATTTATTTATTTATTTTACTGGAAAGTTGGATATGCAGAGAGGAGGGTCTTCCATCCGCTGGTTCACTCCCCAAGCGGCCACAATGGCTGGAGCTGAACCAATCCAAACCAAGGAGCCTAGAGCCTCTTCCAGGTCTCCCACTCGAGTTCAGGGTCCCAGGGGATTGGGCCATCCTCAACTGCTTTCCCAGGCCACAAGTAGGGAGTTTGATGGGAAACGGGGCTGCTGGGATACAAACTGGTGCCTACATGAGATCCTGGCATGTTCAAGGCAAGGACTTCAGCCTCTAGACTACTGGGTGCTGAGTCCTATTTTGTATGTTTTGAAAGTTAGGCTGTCCTGTGGCAAAGCATCCAAAGATCTTGTGGGGAAATTTGATATTGATTTTATTTATTTGAACGGCAGAGGGACAGAGAGGAAGAGATACAAACATACACGCACACAGAGACATAGGGAAAGATTTGCCATCTGCTGAATCCGCTGGTTCACTCCCCAAATGATTGTAAAGGCAAGGATTGCACCAGGCTGAAGCCAGAAGTCTTGAACTCCACCTAGGTGTCTCATGTATGTGGATGTGGTCCAAGCACTTGACCCATCTTCTGCTGCTTTCCCAGGCACACTAGCAGGGAGCTGGATCAGAATTGAAGCAGTTGGGATTCAAATTAACATTCCAGTAAAAGTCAATGCAGTCTACTCTCACTCTGTAACAGTAGTAGGGAACAGGGCACAGTTACACTGGCACATGAGACAAGGATCTAGCTTCAGTGGCTGGGATGTCTTGCCAGGCTGGTGACAGGCCTTTGTGAGACAGCCTTATCCTAGCAGATCCTAGTGGCACCTTAGTTAAGTCTGCTAAGAGCTCTTCTACCTTCCCCCTTGCACAAGGCTGAGATGTATGGGGTCAGTGTTAGTGCCTTTCTTTTGTGTCTCATCTTCCTAGTACACGCTGTGATCTGGCAATCCTCAGCCTGAGTGATGTGAGACTCTCATCTCAACCATGCTTTCCAGGTAGGGATGGCTACGAGAGGGACTAAGTCTGGACCAAGTCTCTGGAAAAACAAAACAAAACAAACAAACAAACAAAAAACCACCCCAGCTTCTAAAGAACTACCTGCCGGGTTTAAGAATAGATACCTCCATTTAGAATATTTCTTGGGGCTAGTTAATTGGTTCAATTTGCTAATTCTCTACCTCTAAACATGGCATCCCATATGGACACCAGTGTATATGTCTTGGTTGCTCTAGTTCCCATTCAGCTCCTTCCTTGTGGCCTGGGAAAACAGTAGAGGATGGCTCAAGTTCTTGGGACTCTGCACCCAGGTGGGAGACCAGGAAGAGGCTCCTGGTTCCTAGCTTGGAATCGGTTCAGCTCCAGCCATTGTTGTCATTTGGGGAGTGAGCCAGTGGATGGAAAATATTTTTCTTTCTCTTTCTCTCTGTAGATTTGCCTTTCCAGTAAAAAGAAATGGATCTTTAAAAAAATCACCTCTGATGAATTCTATTTTCTGGAGTGCAAAGGAGATTTTTAAAAAATAAGGCTTGGATAGAATCTCATTTGAGATAGCATGTCTTTATTTTGATAAGTACAAAGAAGTACTATCTTTACACTTTCTTTCTGTGATCACTGTTTCCTGCTCAGAGAGCCACCATATTATAGTGGTGACAGCTCTGTTTGCTGAATGAATGCCATGGGCTAGGAGTCATATGAGCTCTTCTCACTCAAAAGGCTGCAAGAGAGAATGTTAGCTCTAGTTTAGTGGAGAATCAGCAGTGAAGCATCTTGTTCAGAGCCACCTTTGTGACCTCAGCTCTTAACTTTAAAGCTGGCTAATAAATACATTGGGCTAGTAGGGGGCAGGAACTACAGCAACAGGGAGTTGTAGCTTGTCAGACTCAATACCTTGAATTGTCCCCTACCTTGCCAGACGTGAATGGGACTTGGAGAGTTTGGGAAGCCACCTTCACTCACCTACTAAATATCAGGAAGTTCCGGTGAGTTTTTGCATCCCTAAAGTTCCTCATTTGTCACCAAGCTTTATCTGCTGCACTAAAAAGGGTTTACTCTGTATTAAAAACAGACAAACAGCCAGCTGTGGAGCAAGGCCTGCAGATGCATTCCTCCCTCCCATTCTGAGGCCAATGGGTGGCTCTCTGACTCATGACTGCCCATGCAGACAACAGAACATCACTGTCTTGTAAGACAAAACATTGATCAGTGGGGGCTGATTAGCCTCTGAGAATTGCTTCTCTGCACTGCCATCTCCTTGTGGGGAAGGTAATAAGCTCAGTTTGTTGGTCCTTGGCCTGATTTCCCATGATCTCATGTCCATGCTCTTAATTATTTACAATGCTTAGATTCAAGCTTAATTGTTACATAAGTTTCAGAGTCATTTAAAATGGTAAGTTAGGAGGGTTCTGTAAGTGAGGCAAATTTCTAGACTGTGGGATCTTTGCACATCTACAGTCTGCAATGCTGGGACTTTTATTACTCAGAGAAATGTTGTCTTTTTAAAACTCTTTAGACATTCAATTATTTAAAAGGCAGCTTTTTTAAAGTTAATTTTATTTCTATTTGAAAGGCAGAGTTACAGAGAGAGAGAAGGCATGAGAGAAAGGTCTTTCATTCACTGGCTCACTCTTCAAATAGCCAGAGCCCAGAGCTAAGCTGATCCAAAGCCAGCTTTTCCCGGGTCTCCCATGCGTGTGAATGTAGGATTCCAAGGGCCAGGCCATCTTCTACTGCTTTCCCTGGGCACAGGTAGGGAGCTGGATGGGAAGTGGAGCAGCCAGGACATGAACTTGTGCCCAATTGGGATACT